CACATAAAGATCACAGACCCTACAATACAAATAAAATTAAAGCAAGATTTAATGCCACTCCCCACAGACCTTCAGATGCAGAGGCAATGACAAAACAAAATAAAACAATAAAACAGAGGGTAAAAAGTGTTAACAAGGATGTGGAGCAACTGAGACCCTCAGGAACTGTAGCTGGGAATATAAATGTTGTTGCTCTTTGGAAAAAAATGCACTAATTCCTCAAAAAGTTACACATGGAGTTACTATATGCCTTAGCAACTGTATACTTTATATGGGTGGATTTTATTGCATATGGACTGTACCTCCATAGTAAAAAAAAAAAAAAAAAAGTCTCAAGCCCTAATGAGTAAGGATGCTGAGCATCTTTGCTCATGTATACTGGTTATTTGTTTACCTTTTTTGGAGAAAAGTCTTTGTACTCCTTTATCCATCTCTAAATTGGATTATCATTTTGTTGTTAAGTTGTAAGAGCTCTTAGATATTTTGGATACAAGTCCCTCATCAGATACATGATTTGCAAATATTTTCTCCCATTCCATGGGTGCTCTTGCTTTTATTTTTATTTATTTATTTTTAATGTTTGTTTATTTTTTGAGAGAGAAAGACAGAGCATGAGTAGGGGGTGGGAGCAGCAGAGAGAAAGGGAGACACAGAATCTGAAGCAAGCTCGAGGCTCCAACTGTCAGCACGGAGCATAGGGCTCCACACGGGCTCAAACTCACGGACCATGAAATCATGAACTAAGCCAAAGTCAGATGCTCAGCTGACTGAGCCACCCAGGCACCCCTCTCACTTTTATTTTTTTAAGTTTATTTATTTTGAAAGAGAGTGTGTATGCATGTGTGGGATGGGGAAGGACAGAGAGAGAGATCCTAAGTAGGTTCTGTGCTGTCTGTCTAGAGCCCGACCTCTGGCTTGATCTCATGAACCCTGAGATCATGACCAGAGACAAAATCAAGAGTCAGATGCTTAACTGACTGAACCACCCAGGGGCCCTTGTGTTCTCGCTTTTAAGTGCTCATTTGGCTAAGTATAAATGTTAGTTTTCTAGTTATTTACTCTTAGACATTTAAAATATTATTCCTTTGGGGGCGCCTGGGTGGCTCAGTTGGTTAAGCGTCCGACTTCGGCTTAGGTCATGATCTCACGGTTTGTGGGTTCCAACCCCATGTGGGGCTCTGTGCTGACAGCTAGCTCAGAGCCTGGAGCCTGCTTCTGATTCTGTGTCTCCCTCTCTCTCTGACCCTCACCTGCTCATGCTGTCCCTCTCTCTCTCAGAAATAAATAAAACATTAAAAAATTTAATATTATTCCTTTGTCATCTAGCTTACATTAATGATGCAAGGTGAGCACTCTTGTCATTTGTTGCTTCTGGACAATTATCAGCCACCATCTCTTAGAATATTTCCTCTATTCTATTTCCCCTTACAGAACGCCAGTCCCATGAATGTCAGTCCTGATGTTAGTCTCTCTGGTCATCATGTCTCTTAGTGTTTCCTTAATATTTTCCTTCTTTCTGTCCATCTCTGCTCTATGGTGTGTAATTTCTTAGGTTTATTTTTAGTTTACTAATTTTGTCTTCTACCTAACCTGCTGTTTAACTTGCCTACATAGTTTTAATTTTTGATTATTATGGCTTATATTTCTCCATAATTAATTTGACTTGTTTATCAAAACTCCTTTGTCTTTTTTGATAGCATGTGGTGCTTTTCTCATGTTTTCAGTTTCTTCTTGTTTTTGTTCAACATTTTTAAAAAAATCTTATTTTTTTATGCTGTACCTAATAATTCCATTATCAGGAAATGGAAGGGGTCTTACACAACTGTTTACTGGGTATGCTGATATTTGCTCACGGAGGTTTTTTTCCTCTGTTTTGTTTTGTATTTGAACGTTACTTGTCCAAACTTTTTTTTTGGGGGGGAATCCTATAGACTCTGGGGTGAGGGGTAGCTCCCCAGAGAAGCTTTGTGCAAAGTTCTTTTTTTTTTTTTTAATGTTTATTCATTTATTTTGAGAGAGGGAGGGGAAGAGCAAGAGTGAGCAGAGGAGGGACAGAGAGAGAGAATTCCAAGCAGACTCTGCCCTGTCATCATGGAGCCCGATGTGGGGCTTGAACCCACAAGCTGTGAGATCATGACCTGAGCTGAAATCAAGACGCTTAACTGATTGAACCACCCAGGCTCCCCATGTGCAAAGTTCTTTTAAGAACCACCAATCATTCTGAATTTTTGTTAATGTTTCCTCTTGTGTTTTACCAGACCAGGTATAGTACACATTGTAGTCTCAAATTCACCTGAAGGGCGTGATAGCAAATCCTCAAGGGAAATTTCTTTTTTCAAGTCTGGAATGCACACAGAGACAGGCACATTATCTCTGACCCCTCCCTCTGCTGATGGCTAGATTTCTCCTGGCCCACCCTTCCTCAGGAGCACAGCCCTGAGGGCCCCAGCTCTTTGCTAGGTTCTGGTTGTTGAGATTAGCCAACACCCACAGAACAGCCCTGGCTCCAGGTCCACTTCGCTTTGTGTATTTGTCTTCTTCCTCTGGTAGAGTTCTCTTTCTTTCTTTCTTTCTTTCTTTCTTTCTTTCTTTCTTTCAATCCAAGCTCGGCTATGCATTTAAAAGAATGTTTGTTATATTTTCGGTGTTTTGTATTTGGAAGGTTGTCCTATTATCTAGTTCTTATATTGCCTGTAATAAAACTCCAAGGGGGAAGAATGCACAAATAAATACATGCTATCTAGTGTTCGAAGCCCCACTGCAGTCCTTAAGGGTCCGTATGCTTCAGAAGATGGGTTAATCAGACAATGGAGTTCCTTTTGCTGTTAGGTATTAGATGTATGGCCTTATGGGGTATCGGGTAAGTAGAACATTGACCCAACCAGAATGCATCACCCTTTAGAGGGGTTTGAAAAAGTGAAATCAGTGTTAAATCTTTCAAGTAGTCATAAGGAGAGATATTAGAGACAAAGATTGGACTTAAACCAATCCCTTAAACCAATCCCTCTCCACCTAACTCTCCTATTTGGGGCTCTAGAGGAAGACCTGTGAAACACAGTAGCTGGCACATAGTGAGTGCTCAATAAATACTTGCTGACTAATGTTGACTGTGTAACTGAGTCATTGTGTCACAAGACGACTCCCTGATTTTCGGCAATAAAGTCCTCAATTTTTTAAATGTTTATTTCTGAGAGAGAGAAGATGAGTGTGCACGCATGAGAGTGGTGGAAGAAGGGCACAGAGAGAGGGAGAGAGAGGATCCGAAGTGGGCTCTGTGCTGACAGCAGAGAGCCTGATGCAGGGCTTGAACTCACACACCATGAGATCATGACCCAAGCTGGAGTTGGACGCTTAATCAACTGAGCCACCCAGGCGCCCCTATAAACTCCTCTATTAATCTGACCAACTCCCAGGCCAGTGTTGGAGAATGAGTTGGTCAAAACAATATAGAGAAATAAAGTACATCGGGGTGGTATATAACAGATAGTCATTTCAGATTAATCAGAGATGCCTGGGTGGCTCAGTCGGTTAAGCATCAGACTTCGGTTCAGGTCATGATCTCAACAGTTCATGGGTTCGAGCCCCACGTCAGGCTCTGTGCTGACAGCTAGCTCAGAACCTGGAGCCTGCTGCGGATTCTGTGTCTCCCTCTCTCTCTGACCCTCCCCTGCTCAGGCTGTCTCTCCTCTCTCTCTCTCAGAAATAAATAAAACATTAAAAAAAAAGATTAATCAAAATACAGGGTGGGGGCAACTGGGTGGCTCAGCCGTTAAGCTTAAGCATCTGACTTCAGCTCAGGTCATGATCTTGAGGTTCGTGAATTCGAGGTCTTTGTCCTCAGGCTCTGTGGTGACAGCTCAGAGTCTGAAGCCTGCCTCAAATTCTGTCTCCCTCTCTCTTTGCCCCTTCCCCACTTGCTTTCTGCTTCTCTACCAAAAATAAACGAACATTTAAAAAATAAAATAAAAATACAGGGTGTACTTGGGGCTGAATGACCAAAAAACTGGAGCCACTCCAAAGCTTACATACGAATTGTGAAGGGTAATATCTAACATGTATGGAATGCTTATTATAGGTAATCATTGTTCTATGTTCTCTTCCATGTATCAATTTGTTTAATCCTCCCAACAGCCTTAGGAGCTGGGTATTGTTATAATAAATCCTGTTTTATTATTTATTTATTTATTTAAAAAAAATTTTAATGTTTTTACTTATTTCTGAGAGAGAGAGACAGCGTGAGCAGGGGACAGTCAGAGAGAGGGAGACACATAAGGTGTCATGGTGTCCCACTTGGAGCTCTGTGCTGATATCTCAGAGCCTGGAGCCTGCTTTGGATTCTGTGTCTCTCTCTCTCTCTCTCCACCCCTCCTTCCATCAAAAACAAATAAACATTTAAAAACAATTTCTTAGAGGCGCCTGGGTGGCTCAGTTGGTTAAGCGGCTGACTTCAGCTCAGGTCATGGTCAGGTCATGGGTTGAACCACAGGATCGGGCTCTGTGCTGACAGATAGGAGCCTGGAGCCAGCTTCAGATTCTGTGTCTCCCTCTCTCTCTGCCCCTCCCCTGCTCGCACTCTGTCTCTCACAAATAAATAAACATGAAAAAAAATTAATGACAAAATCAGGATTCAAACCCAAGTTAGGAGTCTATGCTCTTAACTATTCTCCACATCGCCTCTCTTTAATGCCTCCTGTGTGTTTCCTGAGGGTGGAAGGGGCCGTGGGAGACCCTTCCTACCTCCTAGCGGCTGGGGTTACTTCCCTGGGGAAGTCCAGAGTGCGGCAAGCACCGCTCTTTGATGCAAGGGCCAGGATGATACCAAGTTCGTCCCAGGAGGGAAGGGAAATCTAAGCGAGGCACCCCGTTGCTGCGGTCAAGAACCGCCTTCTCTGGCTGGACAGCACCGGCGTCCAACGACCAGAGGGGCCCGGGACCCCCGCGCAGCCCTCCGCTCCTGGCTCGCCCCCTGCTGGAGCTCGCTCTGCCTCGCGGCCGCGCATCCGTCAGGCCGTAGGCCCCGCAGCGCCGCCGCGGAGGCTGCCCAGCGGCCCAGTGGCGGGAGGGAGGGAGCGGGCAAGTCCCTGTGGCCACCCAGCCCTGAGCTGACCCGACCCGTGCTCTCCCCGGGAAGCTGACTCAACCGGAAACTGCCCTGGGCCGCTCTTAACCGTAAGGAGCCCCTGCTCACCTTTCCCCTGGAACAGACTGACTTCGAGGCAGGGAGAGGCAGCCGACCCCAGGAGCCAGAATCCCTCCTCTCCGGGCGAAGCTGGGCAGGCGGGTTTGGGGGTGCTTTGGGACACCAAGGACCCCCAGTCACCTCGGGAGCCACCTCTTCTTAGCGGGGGTCCTGCCAGTGCCTGTCCTACACTGTTCTGTGTGGAGGGGCCTCCAGAAGGCGATGGTTCCAGAACTGAGGGGCAGCAGCTCCACCTTCCTGAGGACGGCCTCACAGCGAGCTCGAGGATAAGCCCCAGGGAGCCCCCAATGCCTGGACCAGATGTAAACCGCCCCCCGAGGCGTGGCAGAGTCTAGTCTCCTTCCCCCAACCAGAGGAGTCAGTCTTCATGTGACAGGTGTCTGCCCGCACTCTGTAGGGATGTCGCTGGGGCAGGGAAGTGAGTGGGCAGGAAGGAGGTGAAAGGTCCTTGTTCAGCTAAGCCACCATCAGCACCGGTGAGGTCAGCCAACCTGGGCTAGGCAGGGAGGGCCAGAGCGAGTCTTTCCGGGAAGGGCATAGGCCCTGCCCTAGTCACAAGCAGGTAGGTCAAGGGCTGAGCAGCCAGCTGGAAGCCAGTGGCGTCGCTCCTTAGGGGTGATGTCCATCCTGACTGAGTTCACTTATAACCTTTTTATTTTATTTATTTATTCTTTAAAGACGCCGAGGTTGGTGTTTTACAAAAGTGACGAGGTTGCTCTTTCAGGTAACTCAGAGTCCCAGGGCGGGCATGGGGGATGGGCAGCAGGACTGGCCCTGGGCGTCCTGCGCAGCAGCCCCTCTGTGGACATCAGATAGCAAGCGTGTTGAATTGGCTCTCCCGGCACTACCCACCCCAATCCCCTGTCTTGCACAACCTGGGAGCTCCAATGGTTTAAATAGAATAGGCCAAATCATCCTTAGCTATCTCCAGGATTTGGTGCCTAACCCTCCCCTAAAAAAGTCAATGCTATCTTTGCCACCTTCCCCTCTGCTTAAGTTTCTGATGGAGCAATGAGATGCCTCCAGGCCCCTCCAACTCAGACGAATGTAGTACGGCCTTGCTATGTCACCTCACGTCTGACCCACTGCTCCTGGAAGCTGAAGGGTTAATATGGACCCCGCCTAATGCTGGCACAATTCTCACTGGGGCTGCTAGAATCCAAAGCGGGACCATAGTGAGGACATATGAGACTCAAGACTCAAATCAGGCCTGCCATCTAGGTAGGACACTAGCTTGTGGTCACCAGAGTCTTAAGGTAGTGAGTATCTGGACGTAGCGAGAGAGGAAAGATTAATGTGGGGCTCGCACTGTTGTGCGGTGTGTGGGTCTCTTCATATACACAGATCCCACACAGCTCATGGTGGGAGCTCAGTATATAGTCATTAAGTGAAAACTTTGGGCAAAGTTTTTGACTCAAAAAGACTCAAAAGTGGTCATAACTATGTCCCAAACCTGTGCACAATCCTTTGTACCTAGCTCTCGTCCACTCTGCTTTTCCATCCCTGGACTTTACCTGTGCTGCCCTGTTTTCTTCCCCTGGAATGCTCCCCACCTTCTCCACAGACCTCACTCCTTCTCATCCTTTAAGTGTCAGTCTAGACGTCCCTTCTTCCAAGAAGTCTTTGCTGACCCTCTGAGTGTGTATTCTGCGCCCTTCTTCTGTGCTCGCATAAGTCTATGCTTCCTTCCTGTTAGCATATGTCACACGGGATTTGTAAATGCCTGTTTTCCAGCCTATGCCCTTTAGTAGACCATACACCTTGAGATCAGTGATTGTGTCTTATTCGTGTCCGTCCCTTGTGCCTAGCACATAGTACTCACTAGATATTTATGAGATGAATGTATTAAACACACTGTTTCTTCATCCACTTCCTCCCTAGAAGCTGACCTCAAGTTGAACCACCTGCCAAGTAAGACATAAGATTTGCCTCTTGCAGAGAGAGGTCTACTTAATGAGACTTTAAGCCCAGAGAAACGACATCTAAAGTTGAATGCTCAGGCACCCTGGCTGGTGTAGAGGATTCCTCCTGCAAATGACACGTAGGGGAGGTGGTCATCCGGTCTGCGGCAGATGCTGCTAAGAGCCAATGGTAGGAGTGTTTTGTGTTTTGAGACGAAGTGGAGGACACTTTTGGGTCCTGAGCATCCCCTTGGTCCAGTGGCGTTATGTTCGGTGACATGATGGGCAAGGGAGGGGGTGTGGGCCTCTCGAGTCTGCACAATACTGGAGGGCTGCCAGAGGGTCTCTACATAGCAGTGGCTATCCATGAAGGTTATATGGGAAAAGGTGAGTGACTTCAAAACTTCTCTGCCTCATTGTTCTGTCAGGGGTTTTTTGGGGTGTTGATTTAATGAGCCAAGATGCTGTGATTATGTGTATGTATGTATATATAAATAATGTGCTTGAGGCTGAGGATTGGGCATAGACAGATGGTTTTGTGTGTGTGCGTGTGTGTGTGCGCACGCGCGCACGTGCACGTGATTCATACCTCTGTGGACATGATGAGTCCCTGTGCCTTCAGTTCAGTCATGGAAGTGAGGAGGGAACAAAGGGAAAATATAAACGTGTATTGAGTACATTGAGTGCCTGTTCTATACCAGATACCTTACGATTTTTACCTTTAAAAACATTTTTAATATTTATTTTTGAGAGTGTGCATGAGCAGGAGAGGGGCAGAGGATCTGAAGTGGGCTTTGCACTGACAGTAGTGAGTCCCCTTGAACCCACACACTGTGAGCTCATGACGTGAGCTGAATGCTCTTCCTATTGAGTCACCCAGGCACCTCATGATTCTTTACCTTGTTTAATCTTTTAACTCTTTAGTGTAGATTTCACTATCCCCATTTTGCGGATGAGGAAACAGACTCGTGGACATTATGTAGCTTGTCAAAGGACATAGAAATGATCTGTGGTCTTACTAGTAATGTTCAATTTACGTCTGCTCTGTCTTTTCCAGGTTGATTCCTAACTCGATGGTTTGGCACCTAGGACAGGACACAGAAGCGAAGCACGACTTGAGCCTAATTAAGAAGAAGGGTTAAGCTGTCAGGCTCTGGGGTCAGACTGAACAATTTCAAATCCTCCCTGTGCACGTTTACTGTGTGCCTGTGGCATTACGGTGGAGACCTTAGTGCATCAGTGCCTTTTTTTTAATGCCACAAATTTCCCTTTATTAAGTAGTCAAGACAAAACCACATAGTAAATATATATACTCTAACAACATAGCCATTTGAAAAAATAGTGCACGTAAATTAAAAGAAAAAATGTTTTAATTAATTCTTAAATGACCACAGTTACTAATGGGATATTGTGACTGTTGCGTGTTGCGTTACTTCTCACATTTTGGACTCAGATCGAACACCACACACTACAGGGAGAAATTTTCAGTTTTGCCAAAATAGGTCCTTGAAAGGAATTTAGCGCCACCTATTGTAGAAACGGTGAACTGCCTTGAGCTAATTAGTTCACGTGGGTGTTGAGACATAGGTATTACTCCTCCTGAAAACCTCCCTGTGGCAACTTGGAGAACGTTAGGGCATTAGGGACTATCCAGGATCAGTTGGGCAATTTACTTATTTTTTTCTGTGCCATGTTGTCCTCGCCTGTAATATGTGGATGATAATATGGAGCTGAACGGTTTGTGATGAGGTTGAAATGAAGTGTTTGTAAAGCGCCTGCAATGGCCCTTGACGCTCTACATTAGAATCACCTGTGAAGTTAATGAAACTCGTGGATGCCTGGCACCCTACCCACAGATTCTGATGTAATTGGCTGGGGTGAGGTGCAGGCATAGGAGTTACTTTTTTAAGGTACCCCAAGAGATTTTAATGTGTGGCCAGGGTTAAGATTCACTGACATAGTACATAGTGAGTAGGCTATTTTAAAAATAAAAGTAATGTTATTATGGTCAGGCAGAGAAAACCAATAACTAGGTATATGAAGGTCTAGGTTCTAGAACTTTTTTCCCTTTCTGGGTCTGTGTGGTCTTTGGCAAATCACTTGCTGTTTCTTAACTTCTATTCTTCCATTAAGATGAGCATAATAACTGTGTTCAATCTTAAATCATAGGGTTTCATAAACTGCTATTTAGACCGTGTGACACTATACTGATGGAGGGCATTATTGGGAACTAGAAGATGTGATCCCAAAGGGTAAAACCCCACAACACTTGAGGGCCATTGCTCTCTGCTGGTCTGTGCACCGTGAAGAGACTCGCAGGCCCACAGCTGAGGAGACGGAAACAGAAGGTGAGGTTCACTAGGGCCCCTCCTCGGTTGGGGAAGGCCAACAGCCTCAGCAGTTTATGGAGTCGCTGCGGTACTGAAAAGTAACAGAAGGGGTCACCTTCTCTCAGACCCAGACCTGGGTTTGAGTATAACCATCCAAACCAATTTGTTCTGAAAAAGTTTAAGCAAATAAAAGTTTAAAAGTTTAAACTTCTGGGGGCACCTGGGTGGCTCAGTTGGTTGGGTATCTGACTTCAGCTCAGGTCATGATCTCGCGGTTCAGGTTCTAGCCCCGTGTTGGGCTCTGTGCTGACAGCTCAGAGCCTGGAGCGTGCTTCGGGTTCTGCATCTCCTCTCCCTGCCCTTCCTCCCCCTCTCAAAAGTAAATAAACATTAAACATTTTTTTTGAAAGTTTAAACTTCTAGATTTTATTTCTATTTATTAGCCACTGTTCAATAATACATAAAGTAACTACAAAACTCAAAAATTAAAACAAGAACAAAATGTAAAAACTGTAAAAGAAAAGAAAGCTAATTTTTACTTGCTTAAGGCTCTTTGGCAGTAGACCTTTGCAAAAAGTTTCTCTAGATTTCTTTTTAAATGCCATTTGGACTTTTAATAATTATATCTTATTTGTACTGGGCTTGTATGTCACCACCCAAAATAGGTGTGCCAATCTAATGAAAGCAACAATGGAAGAGCTATTTCAATAGTTAGGAGACAAAGGGCTAGTTTTAACCAATTAACAATAACATCTTCATTCTTTCATTCTGAAGCCCAAGTTCAAGGGAAAGATCAAACCTCGGAACTCTGCAGATTTCTTTTTTCTTTTTTAATTTTTTAATGTTTTATTTATTTTTGAGAGAGAGAGAAAGAGAGACAGCATGAACAGGGGAGGGTCAGAGAGAGAGGGAGACACAGAATCCGAAGACAGGCTCCAGGCTCTGAGCTGTCAGCACAGAGCCCGACGCGGTGCTCGAACCTACAAACTCTGAGATCACGACCTGAGCTGAAGCCGGATGCTTAATCGGCTGAGCCACCCAGGTGCCCCCTCTGCAGATTTCTTATTCTCTGTGTTTGAAAATACACAGGGCTGGGCGCCTGGGTGGCTCAGTTGGTTAACGGTCAGACTCTTGATTTTGGCTCCAGTCATGATCTCATGGTTCAGGAAGTCAAACCCTGCATGGGTCTCTGCACTGGCAGCACGAAGCCTGCTTGGGATTCTCTCTCTTCCTCTCTCTGCCCCCCACCCCCACATGTGCATACTTTCTCTCTCTCTCTCAAAATAAATAAACATTAAAAAAAAGAAAAAGAAAGAAAATGCACAGGGCTTCCATTTAGCTCCAAGTGTCATGATAATAATAGCTACTATTTATTAAGCAACCACTATATGTCAGGTGTTTCCTTTACAAACTGCTACTTCTCATAGCTTAACAGAGGTCATGATCATCCAGGTCATTTTCCAGATGAAGAAACAACTCTGAGAATTTCTGACTACTGTCACGTAGCTGAGATGAGGACAACTGAGGGAGGCCTTCTATCGGCCAAGCTCATGGTAATTCATTGTCTAGTGCACGTAGGCTTAGAGACTCTCCACATCTATTCCAAGGTCTCAGGCAGGACTGTGTAGGGGAGGCGTCTTTCCCTACCTCTCCCTGGTCTAGCTAGCATGAGCAGCCCTATAGCTTTAAGACCCTGAGACTCAGAGGGTGCCTGGTATCTTCCCCTTGAAAAAGGGCCTTGTCTCCAATCACAAATCAAAGGGAATTAAAGCATGGCTAGAACAACAACATGAACTTGGGGAATGGAGTGTGGGACAGAAGGGTTGAATTTTCAGAACATTGCTGAACCTTAATGGAAACTATGTGAGCCGTGTGGGCTCTTCCTAAATCCAGGAATAAAGGGCTGCCTGTCTGTTGTCTAGTTGCATGGCCTCTGCACTTGGCCAAGGCTTTTCTGTGGCAACTGTGAAGAGGGTGTTGAAAATCCTGGATGGGACTAATCTTTAAAATAATGCAATGCTTTATGTGAACCCCTTTCACTTATTGTCACCCTGCACCTTCTAAGTAATCAACAATTATCTATAAAATATAGGTATATATTAAAGCCATCCATCCAGTTTTTCCTCCTTTCAGCTTCCTGGCCCATGGTAGGATTGCACTGCTCGCTCGGTCCCTGGTTCCTGCTCACAAGTGCGGCCATAGACTGGTCATGGCCAATAAAATGTAAGTGGAAGTAATGCTATTGCTTTCAGGCTCTAGTACTTAAATGCCTTTTTAAGCCCTTCAGAGCTCTCTTCTCTGCCACAGCAAGTGGTAATGCTCCAGACAGAGGCAGCTCCGTCCACCTGAGTTCGGAATGAGAACATGGAGGAGAAGCCCCATCTGACCCAGTGGATATGCAGAATAAATGAGAAAGACAGCTTTATTATTTGAAGTCACTGGAAGTTGGGTTTTGTTGTTGCTGTTCTTTTTTTAAAAAGTTTTTTTTTATGTTTATTCATTTTTGAGAGATGGAGAGAGACAGAGCGTGAGCAGGGGAGGGGCAGAGAGAGAGGGAGACACAGAATCGGAAGCAGGCTCTAGGCTCCAAATTGTCAGCACCGAGCCTGACGCAGAGCTAGAACCCACAGACTGCGAGATCATGACCTGAGCCCGAGTTGGACTCTCAACTGACTGAGCACCCAGGCACCCCTGCTCTTCCTCCTCCTCCTCTTCTTCTTCTTCTTCTTTTTAATTTTTAGTTTTATTTATTTATTTTGAGAGAGAACCAGAGAGAGTGAGGGGGCGGGGGGCGGGGGACAGAGAGAGAGGGAGAGAGAGAATCCCAAGCAGGTTCTGCACTATCAGCTTAGAGCCTGATATGGGGCTTGAACCCACCAATGGCAAGACCATGACCTGAGCTGAAACCAAGAGTTGGATGCTTAGCCAACTGAGCCACCTAGCCACCCCTTGTTGTTGGTGTTCTTTTTTTTTTAAATTTTTTTTAATGTTTTTATTTATTTTTAGGAGAGAGAGAGAGACAGCGTGAGCAGGGGAGGGTCAGAGAGAGAGGGAGTCACAGACTGAAACAGGCTCCAGGCTCTGAGCTGGCAGTCAGCACAGAGCCCGACGCGGGGCCCGAACCCACGAACCGCGAGATCATGACCTCAGCGAAAGTTGGACACTTAACTGACTAAGCCACCCAGGCACCCCTGTTGTTGGTGTTCTTACCACAACATAACCTATTCCGACTGGTAGGGGGTATTCACCGGTTCCCCATCACTGCGCACTGAGTCAAGGTGGGGTAAGTGAATTATTTAAGGACATGTATATGTAAAAGAAAGGGAATAGATTTTGGAGACACATAGATTACAGTTAAATATCAGCTCTGCCGCTCACTGTATGTATGATTTGAGGCAAATTTATTAATCTTTTTCACACATACGCATTAGAATGTCAAAAAGACAAACAAAAACCCTGACCATACCTAGTGCTGGCAAGGACGCAGAACCAGTAGAACTGAGGATGCAAAATGGCACAGCTATTTGGAAATTGATTTAGCAGTTTCTTATGAGATTACATACACACTAACTATATGTCCTGCCATTCCCAGTCCTGGGTACCCCAGAGAAATGAAACTTACACTTACACGAAAGCCTGTGCGTGAATGTTTATAGAAGTTTCGTTCATAACTGCCAGATGGCGTTCAGCTGTGAGTGGGTGACTGCCTGTGGCACAGCCACACAATGGAATGCCACTGAGCAATAAAAAAGAGGAAACTACCAACATAGGCAACATGGGTGAATCTCAACACATCATGCTAAGCGAAAGAAGTCAGATTCGAAGAGCTAGGATTCCACTTACAGGACACTCCAGAAAAGGCAAAGGGATAGGAACAGAAAACAGATTAGGGGTTGCAAGGGACTAGGTGTGGCGGTGGGGAGGGGGACAGTTGACTACAAAGGGGCCCCAGGAGGAAACGGGAGCTGTTCTGGATCTGGATCGTGTTGGTGGTTCCGTGGCCCCTAACATTGTCAAGACTCAGAACTGTACATCAGAAAGTGTCAA